GACACCTGGATGGTACAGCCTCCTACCCACCTGGGCTATGTGGTATAGCCCATTGCTCCTGGGCTACACACCTGTGCAGCATCTTACTGTACTGAATACTGCAGGCAATTGTAACGCGATGGTAAGTATTGATGTATCTAAACGTAGAAAAGGTACAGTAAAAATATGATTTAAAAGATAAAAAATGGCTCACCTGTATAGGGCACTTACCCTGACTGGAGCTTGCAGGACTGGAAGCTGCTCTGGGCGAGTGAGTGAGTGAGCGGTGAGTGAAGGTGAAGGTTTAGGACACTACTGTGCACAATGTAGACTTTCTGACCACTGTACACTCAGGCTACACTCAATCTATAAAAAAACAAAGTAGTCGTGCTATGACGTTCTGACAGCTATGGCATCACGAGACAATAGGAACTTTTCAGCTCTATTATCATCTTATGGGACCATCATTGTATATACAGGCCTTCATTGACCGAAATGTCCTAATGCAGTACATGACTGTAGTTAAATCTAAATTAATGGTGACAAATGCAATTAATAATTTGTAGTTTTTAGTAGAGATTCTTGAAACGAAGAAAGCTGTGCTGCAAGGGAAACCTGTTCAGAGCTAGCAATGAAATAACCTACGTGTGCATTGTCCATATGGTAGCCACTAGCCACATGTAGCTATTTATAAACATCCTCTTTTTCTGATGGCTGGCCAGTATGGGGACCCAAACCTTTGACCTTGTGTTACAAGGCTGTGCTCTAACCAACTGAGCTAACATGCCAGCCTCCACATGTAGCTATTTAAATTTAAATTAATAAAAATGAAGTAAAATCAAATATTCAGCTCATCAGTTGCACTAGCCACTTTTCAAATGTTTAATGGCCACACACGGCCAGGGGTGACTGCATTTGAGCAGATATAGAACATGTCTGTCATTGCAGAAGGTTCTTTTGGATAGTGCTTGTCTAAATGATCCTGGCAAATCCATGAAGGGAAAGGGGTGTTTTGGAGAGTGGAGAATAAAAGTCTTCTACAGGTCTTCTAACAGGGG